AGATGGGAGGCATAAATGAATTATATCGTGAAACTCCAGCGGTAGTCCGCCTTAGGCTACTTGATATAGCGCCTTGCGGCATTTTTATATATAGCTAGGCTCAAGGAGACCGACGGCTTCTGAAAGAGATATACTCCTAATGCAAGCACACGCGTTGCGGCGGTTGGCGATGGTCAGCGTGCACTCGCGAGGCCTGCCTGTTAAGAGACGTGACGCATCAGTAACGGATGCACGGCGTCTTGGGGGACGTGACTCAAAATCCGGAGGTACGAGATACGGGCGGCTCCGAGATCCAGCCAATTCTGAGTGGTACTATTGTTTGTATGCGCCAATGTTCTGGATGTAAGACCAACTAGGCGTGATGTACTGGGAGTAGACATGAGAGACAACATACTGACGGACGAGCAGTCCATAGAACAAGAGGATGACCTTCGAGTGGTCATAGGAGGAGCATTCCGTGCGACGTCTTCGACACGATGACATGATTCATACGGAGGTGATATTGGACAAAATCCATGCCCTTGGTTCGCTAGATGTACTCGAAAGTGTAGTTGTGGTCCTCGTAGAGGCGGACAGCGATGTGCCGTTCGAAGTGCTCAAGGAGGTAGACCTTGCTTTTCAGCTCCGAGTCCTCGGGGTACTTTGAGACGGTGTAGTTCTTGCGGACGTAGACCGCGCCATGGCGGCAGAATGAGACATGGTGAGGGTCGCTGAAGACAGAGCCCCCGTCAGCGAATGACATTGACGACCTAAGAGAAGACACGTCACCTGCTTCTCCGGCAACAGCACTACCGTCGAGCTGTCGTTGAAGTGCACGCCCACGGACCCGTTCGCAAGCGCGTAACCCATCCCGTACTTATTACATATCAAGCAGAGAGTTGTTCCGTTGACACGGCAGACATCGTACTTACCCCAGGAATTCGCTGCTGCGTTGGAATTGCACACAAGCATAGCTGAGCTCCTCACTATCTATTGGAGATGTATAACCATTGAAGAATACCCCGAGGTGAATCGGACCGAGTGACGGGTGTTGGCGATCATGCCATGATCGTTGACTCGGTAAAGTGGCAGTACACAGAAATGCCCCCATATCCCCGCAGATTGTTGCTGACAGTGTTCTACATGAGGTGTTCTTGCACTCTCAACGTACATTGACTTACATTGTACTTTTTGTCCCTGATTCATAACGTACGCGAGCATGAATCCCGTGTAGGACGGCTCGATCCTTACATCTCCGCAAGCCCGTGTGGGGGATCGCATGTTGATCTTTGACGCGTTTCAGGTGAAACTTTAGCTACGACCTTCAAAACTGCACGCAGTCTTTGTGGAATTGTGGTTGACCTTCGATTTCTGGAGGACATCGACGGGATAGCTTCGGAGGACTCTGCACGAACGGGAGTGTATTACTGCTGCTCATCATTTCTTGTAAGTGATTTGCGCTACTAGGTACTACCTTGAAATCTGTGTGTACGGCACTGCTATAGTCACCAAGGGACTGAGTTGCCTGCGTATGTGAAGAACTTTCCGCTATCCTCATTCTTCAGCGAGGTGATGAGTTTGATTAAGTGCGACGCGCAAAACTCGGTTTCGAGCTGTGCTCCCTCCCCACCCATGTCTGCAGAAACGGTGAGTATATGTGACTGGTTGTCAGACGTGAGGTGCTTACCGGTCTTCACCCATCCGGGATCGAGCGCAATCGCGATGAACTCCGGACGGTCCTTCGTCATCTTGTAGGTCTAGCTCGAAATGCGTACAATTTGTAAAAACCTCCCGAGTACAGCGTATCAAACACTCACAAGCATATTCAAAGCAGCCTTGCTGATGCTGTACGAAGTGGATTTGACACCGTGGTTCAGACCGATGCTTGCGAGTGTGCTCGACACGTTTATGACCGTCTTCTTCTTACCCTTCTCCAGCAATGGGAGATACACCTGGTAGAGCAGCATCGGCCCGACAACGTTAACCTGCATCGTGCGCAAGAACACCTCCGGGTTGACATTCGATGGGGCATCATCTCGTTCAATCTACCTCACTCATCGTCAGAATTACGAGGATCAAGGATTGCTAAGAAAGAGCAAACGTAGTACGCACAATGGCTGCGTTGTTACACAAAACATCGATGCCTCCTTCACCCAAGGCCGTCTGGACAGTTGAAACCGAGTTCTTGATCGAGCCCTCAGACGAGACGTCGATCAGAACAATGTGTAGTGTGCCCTGCGCAACGTCCTTGAGCGCGCGGAGCTCAGTCGCGCCGTTCGGGTTGCGGCAGGTCGCGACGACGATGTTAGTCGGTATGGTAAGCAGCTGTCTGGTGAGCTCAAGTCCGATTCCCCGGTTCGCTCTGTAGTAAATGGAAGAGTTCGATGAGTGACAAAATGCTTGCGCAGGACACTACTGAAGGTCCACGCACCCGGTGATCAACCAAGTATTGGTCTCCGTCATCTCGTGGTTGGAGAGGATGGAGGGCGGTAATGGTGAGTCAGTACAGAAATCTTTATATAGGGGTGAGATGTGGATGTGCGGCAGCCAGAAGGCTTCTTCGGCTTCGATCCAGATCTAGTCGAAGCTGCATACCAGTGGAAGGCAGTAGCGGGGGAATCTTGGGTCGTTACGTCCTCACGGCAGCAGTCAACCCGGGGGGAGGTACATACGGGCGGACCGGCAGGCCAAGTGCTTCAGAAAGGTTCAGGGATCCGCACGTCGGTTAGTTGATGACACTAGTCAATTCAGTCGATGAGATGTCGCCAGTCGCACATTGTCATAGGCCTTACTTCTACAAACGTAAGCTTGGTGATTGCCCGAAAGCTTAGATTAGGTGAGACTAGATCGGGATGTGGGGTTTCATGAGAGTCATCCTTCCCAGAAAGACTACAGAACACGAACAAACTCTGTAAGTCCCATCAACATTTGTGTAGGACCCTGATTGCTCTCCTTGTTGTACCCGCTTGGCTCATCTTCGCATCTGCATATCGCGCAAATGACCTGACACGGGATTCCTAGTGGGACGCAAATTTCCCGGGGCCACAGAAAAGGCAGAGAGCAGTGTTCATGGACAACCGGAACCATGGAATCTTTGACGTACTATCCATTAGCTTGTGCGGGGAACTGCAGTTAAAGTTCCGGATACTTTCCTTGCAGGACGGGCAGAGGTGTAAGCAACATGACTTCGCTGCGGTAGCTCGCTCACGTGGGCAATATATTAATCCGCTAGCACAGACACGAAAACTGGATTGAAATGGGAGTGTGAGATGCCCCGATGGAGATATTGCAGACGGCGGCAAGAGGGGCGCGACAAAGCAGACTCACTATTTCGTCAAGAGGCGAGTAGAGGGTGGGGGCGTCGGCGGGGTCGCTCGCTCGCGTGTGGCACATATCGATCGGCCGGCACAGTCACGAGATTTGCACTGCGATGAGATGAGCGAGGGCTACGGGGCTGGCATCATCATGAGCATGATCAGATGTGCGGAATCCTCGTTATTCTGTAGGAGATTCAGACTCACTCAGACTCTAACGGTACCGTATTCAGTCTGCAATGCTGGAGGGGCTGAGGCTGGAACTTTCCCAAGCGTCGCTTAGCGCCCAACGCCGCAGGCCAGCCACGTGAGACCTTGAAGGCTTGAAATTCGGAAGCGGGCCTGCAGTCCGGCTCGGGCCACTGTTTCTTCTCACTCTCAATTTGTCTTTCCTCTGACGCGGTTCTATCCAAATACCTCTCTTCGTAGATAATCCAAAGGACACTTTCACGGAGCCAAGGAGCCAAGGGAACCAAGCGACAATGACAGGAAGGGCCATAATATCCGGAGTCCCCCAATGGCTAGCGTGCGTTCATCAGACCTAACTCGCTCCATCGTCTGGGAGTACTCATTCAAGAAAAGCTGTGCTCTGGGCCTCCTTCCATGTCTCTGACGCAGACGAGGCCCGCTGTCTGGCGTTGCGGATTGCTAGTTGACTCTCCTGAAGCTCATCATGAGTCGTCTCAGTTCGGTACGTGTGATATCATGACTTACAGGAGAGTTGGGATTGGCCCTGACGGCTCGCAGCGCATTGAGAAGGTTGTCCATCTCGGTCGAGAGCTATGGAGTCTTGTCAACTGGGTTCACCTCAAGCGCTTCACGGCACGTATACCTTTCTGTTGACCTCGGAGAAACTGGTACGGAGAAGGTTGGGCTGGAGACGCAGATTCTTCTCGATGCACTGCATTGCATTGAGAATCACCTGCGGCTCAACTCTTCCGTACTCCTGAAGCTGCGCATCGCAACTCCTGAGCCTTACTCGAGCTTGCTCCAGTCTACCTGCATGAGTGCGGATGGCTTTCATGAGCGGGAGATCTTTCTGGCCGAGGAACGTTCCTACCTTTGATATATCCCTCTCAAAAGAAGCTCTTCCGCCAGCCATAAACCTGTCCATGGCTTTCGCTTACATATGTTTCGCATCACGACGTGCATTGACATGTGAGGTGCCAGCGTCAGCGTCACTGGTCGTCCTGCCCCACCCGAAGTGGGGCAAGCTCCTAGCCGACTCATGAGCCCGCCTGACGTCGTCCTATTCCTTACGACTCTATGCACCTGATGAGCTCCATAATCATCGAGAACAGACTAACAACGCGACCATTTTGGACCAATGGTAGAATCCATAGTTCTGAACCTACGCCAAGGCACTTCAACGAGGAAGTCACTCTTTCCTATGATAGAGTCAACGCCCTAGTATCTGCATGGCTCAGAGTCCGGCTCAGAGTCAATGACCTACGTGATGCGGTACATGCACCCGTGCATTTCACAAAGAGCGTCCGAGTCACCCGCCTGTAGCGATGCCACATTGCCGGTGAGCTCATGGCCTTGATCACGCTTGACGATGGGCTGAGCTCACGGAAATTCACCTGCAGGTCTATATCCAATGAGTGTGGCGGCGAATTGCGTCCGTCATGATAACCAATCCCATTGAGAACGGCGGTACGCGATAGCGGCGGCATATATATCAGGAATCAAATTAATCAAACGTGAGAGGACATCGATGGTCGTGGTCGTGATCTGTTCAAATGAGATGTACAAGTCCTAAAGATGCAGACACCTTGAATGTGTGATGAGACGTGCGCATGAACGATGGGAGTGTAGAGAATGGAGACGTGACGGATGAGGATGAAAACGGGAGACTTCGGGGCGGAAAGGAGAAACAAGACCGGATCAGTCGAGATGCTTCTGAGAAGGACGTGAAGATTGAGAGGGTATATACAGTACTTCTTGATATTTGGCAGTGACGACCGAGGTGAGCGAGAGGGTAGATGAAACGATGTCCGACGCGGACGACCTAGCGTCGCCCGCACCGCCTGAGAGTTCATCACTAGACTCTTCTATCCGCATCCACCGACGATAGGAATAGAGACGGGAGACTGGGACGGAACTCAGAACCTAGACGGGAAGGGACTCGCGACCTACGCCGCGACCCCGACAGGAAGAGCAGCAGCGTCTAACGCAGAGACGCCTTCGACGCGCGCGACGCCACCGACCGAGCCGCCGGAGCCTGGGGAGCAGCCGCCGACGCACCAAGCTTCTCCGCCACGTCGCCCGCCTCGCTCCCTGCAACCTGGTCCTGGCTCGCCGCACGGATCGACAGAAGCACCTCCTTGCAGTACTTGAGCTTGTCTACCAGCCGCTGCTGGAACTTCGCCTCTTCCGCATCCGCGACGGGTGGTCTCAGCGAACGCGCCATGACCTCCGCGAGCGTATGCCGCGTCAGGTTGTAATTCTTGTCGATGTGCGTGACGAGCAGGCCGTGAGACGATAGGATGACCTTCGAGTGGTCGTAGAAGTTGAACTGCAGCACGTCGTGCGACATCTTGAACACGATGACGTGCTTCATCCGCAGGTACTTCTGGACAAAGTCCATACCCTTGGTACGCTCGATGTCCTCGAACGTGTAGTCGTAGTCGCCGTAGAGGCGGTCCATGATGTAGCGCTCGAAATGCTTGAGCAGGTAGACCTTGTTCTTCAGTTCCTCGGGGTACTCCGCGACGGTATAGTTCTTGCGTACGTAGACCGCGCCCTGGCGGCGGGACGAGACGTAGTCGAAGTGACTGCGAACAAGAACCTCGTCAGTCAACCATATCCACGAATGTCAAACGCTAAGAGAAAAGGCACGTACTGCTTATCCGGCGACAGCACGACAGTCGAGCTGTCGTTGAAGTGCACGCCCACGGACCCGTCCGTAAGCGCGTACCCCATCCCGTACTTGTTGCAGTAGTCCACCCAGCTGACGATGAACACCTTCGGATCCTCCAGACCGGCGTCCTCCCGCGGGTCCCGGAACAGCTTGCCCAACGCCTTGGCCTCGAACGCCTGGGTGAGCGTCTGCGCCGCGGCGTCGAACCCGTTCACCTTCAGCGACGGCGCACCGGACCCGACGGGCCCAGATACCGGCCCAGGCACCTCCTCTTTCAGGTTCACCTCGCGCACCCTATCCCTCTCCTCCCTCGCGCGCTCCTTCGCCTTCTCCTTCTCCTTCAGCATCCTGACCCCGTCCCTCGTCCGCGCAGGGGGCACGTTCTCCCTCTCCGCGTCCATTCCCATCCCCATCTCGCGCTCCATCATCTCCTGCTCGCCATCCCCGAACACTGACCCGGGAGCGCTCCCAGGGACAGGAACCATCTGGGCAACGATCCGCGCCTTCTGGCTCTCGAGCTCCTTCTTCCTGAGCTCCTCCACCCGCGCGCCGTATTCGTCCTCGTACGCCTCCTCAACAATACCCTGCAGACCCCTCGCAGCGGTCCTGCTGCGGGGTGGGGACTTCGCGGCCTCCTTCGCTGCCTGCAGCTTTCGCAGGAGCGGCTGCTCTCCACGGGCTTGTCCTTGCGACGTGCCGTTCGCCTGAGCAGCGACGATGAGCGGCTGGCGCGCAGAGCTAAGCAGCGCGGAGATCGGCGAGCCCGGCTGGATCGCCTTCTGGAACTCCTTCTCCTGCTGCGCAAGGCTCGAGCTCGCCTGACGCACTCCCTTGCCGCCACCGTTATTTGCAAGCACGTTCGAGTGCCCGGAGGGGGCGCTGGGCACCGCGATGCTCGTCGTCTGGTCGTCGTCAAGCAGCGCGGCGCGGCGGAGGCGTTTGAGATTCGCCTCAGACATATGGCGGGCGATGTGACGGAAGTCGGGGGGCGCGTCGTGTGCGGAGGTCGGGATGTAGCCTGGGACGGTCCCAGCTGTGAACCACGGATGGTCGACGATCTCGTGCAGCGTCGGGCGCTGGGAGGGGTCGGGGGTGAGGATCTGCTGGATGAGCTCCTGGACGGGCTTCGAGACTGCGCGATCGGCCGGGAACTCGTACTCGTTGTCGCGGATGCGCCTTGAGCGAGGGTCGCCATCAATGCGTGTGTAAGAGGATGGGGCAGGAAGGGACTCACTTGTAGATGGCCTTGACGTCCTTGGTCTGGAAAGGGGGGCGTCCGACGACGAGCGTGTACAGGATGACGCCGATCGACCACGTATCCACCTCGAAGCTATGCCCGTTCGCCTGGTCGAACAGCACCTCGGGCGCGATATAGTTCGGCGTCCCGCAGATCGTCTTCTTGCGCTCCCCAGGGATTTCGATCAGCGCTGCGAGGCCAAAGTCGCCGACCTTGACGTTCATGTTCTTGTCGAGGAAGATGTTGCCGAGCTTGAGGTCGCGGTGGATGACCTGGTGCGTGTGCATATACTGGCACGCGCCGATGAGCTGAACCATGAAGAAGCGGGCCTCGGGCTCGGAGAAGCGGCGGCGTCGGCGGAGCATGTCCATGAGCGAGCCGTTGTGGCAGAGCTCGAGGGTCATGTAGACGTTGTCGTCGTCCTCGAAGCAGTCCTGGAAGCGGACGATGTTCGGGTGCTCGAGCGACTTGTGGATCTTGATTTCTGCATAAAGCTGGAAGGGACGTGGGGTATCAGAGGAGGGAGCGGGGAGCAGACGACGGGACGGGACGCACTTTGGTTTTGGCTTTCTTGCTTTTGAGAGAACACTTGGTGACTACCTTGCATGCGGACCTGTGTCCGCGGGCGTCTTGGACTTCGTATACACGGGCGAAGCCACCCTGCAAAACGACGGGGTTGGCAAAGGAGCATAGACAGTTCGGGGAAACAAAGCTAAACGCAAAAGAGTGTAGCAACTATCCGAAGACCGGAACCCCGGTCAAACTACTCAGCGCCATGTACAATTCACTACAGCCACTACAGGAGCTGAGTTGTTCATTCGGCGTTTTCGGAATGCTTATACACGTGTTGCTTGAAGTGAGCAGTTGAGAAACTACTAACGACGACAAGTGTAGCCGAACGACGAGTGGTTACAGAGCGCCTGGTCATCAAAGACCCAAGACGGCGTAACCAACAAGCTCGGTGTGACAGAGAGGATTGTGTAGAAAGACGAGAAAAGGAAGGAGGGCAGACACAGGCAATAGGACGACACATACCTCGCCGAGCATGCCTACACGCATGAACTCGAAGGTGCGGGTCTTGTCGGTGATGATCTTGGGCGGAGACGGAGGGGTGACCTTGGCATTCTGCCTGGGCAGAGGAGGAGACGAGGGCTGCTTGGCTGGCTGGTCGTGTTGCTTGAGAGGCGGGGTGCCCGGGGCGGGAGGAGGGGCATGGCGGGGCTGCTGGTTGACGGCGTGGTGGTTGGGGGCAGCGGCAAGGGGGTGTCGGCGGGGCGGGGGAGGCATAGAGGTGTAGAGAGGGGCGGACATCGTGTAGGCCTAACACCGTCGATGTCGTGGGGAGCGTTGAGGGAGGAGGAGAAGTCGACGGACAGACAGAAACACACAAACAGATTCGGACTCAGGCGTGGTTCCAGCGTGTCGGCCGCATTACATAAGCACCCTCTTGGTTCGACTTCTCGCGCCGCGCGTTACGTCAGGTGACCGCGTGTTCTCCGAAAAAAAGCGTGCACTCCATGAGCACTTGGCAATCTCCTAAACCAAGTCCCTATCGATTAGTGGTTAGATCATCACGTTGTGGCATCACAATTCCGTGAAGACGCCGGCTCGAATCCGGCTAGGGACATGGTCATATTTTGGATGTTTTTGCGCGGACCGCTTCTTATCTGGCACAAGGTAAAAAGCCTCTGGATCGGCCTCAAAGAAACGATTTGCGGTACTTCTGGTCTGCAAAATTCCTTGTCTTCACTCGCACGCTCTCTGTCAACACGTTGTCGTATCCAATATATGATTATGCATAGAACAACAACTTCTGATGGCCTTCACTCCTGACAATGCATGCTACGCGCAGGGCAGCCCACTGAACACGAACACGCACCTTATGCCTGGCATGGCTAGCCTCGGCGTCCACTCTAGTGACTCTACAAACCAGGCGGGGATACAAGCAGGCTTACCTTGCATGAACGTAAAGAGCGCTTCAACTCATGTCGCAACGAGAGGGAAGGGAGGAGGAAATAGATGAGGGCAACTCTATCGAGAGCAGTCCGAGCCTGAGAGATCCGGTAAGCAAAGAGCCCGAGTAATTGTGTGCAGGAGCGGAGGGACAGCGTCAACAATCAATTGAGAGTTGAGTGCATGAAGAGTATAAATGGGAGCATGAGGGCGTGACACATTACTGCACGGCGGGCAAAGCGCCAGGCTCCAAGCAGGGAAATCTGTGCAGCATCTATAGGCAATGCAACCTGGCCCTAGCATTTCCAGTGGGCCTTTGTATCCCTCTTTGTCATTTGGGTAATCTTATGGGCACGTTGCATCGCCCGTATGTTCAGCGTAGATTTCCTCACCTGGACCATCGCGCTTTGCCTGCCGTGCTGGCAGCGTAGAAGGACAGTCATACACAGCGAGGAGGCGAGCCACATCCGCCGGTGAGGATGAGAGAATAGTACCGCTCAGAATTGGCTGGATCTCGGAGCCGCCCGTATCTCGTACCTCCGGATTCTGAGTCACGCCCCCCAAGACGCCGTGCATTCGTTACAACTTCGTCACGTCTCATGACCGACAGGACGCGCGCAATCGCACTCGCGGTTGTCGTGCGCACCTCCTTGTCCAATAGAAGGAGCTTGCTCCATAACAGCAGCTTCGCGAGAGCACCCAAGATTTGTGTTCACTAGCCGGACAACTCTGTGAGCCTTGCGCGATGTCTCAGCCCGCACATTTTGCGAAGCGGGTTGTCATTTTTCAACACCATCGTCATACACCTGAGGGTGCTCTCAATTGCAGTCTGAGAGTCCGATATCCGCGACGATGTTTATGAGTAAGCCTCTCTGAAATTGTGGAGTACGCGCGACTTGTGCCACGTCCCCGTTGTGCGCTAGAGTCGCCGAGATGGGAGGCATAAATGAATTATATCGTGAAACTCCAGCGGTAGTCCGCCTTAGGCTACTTGATATAGCGCCTTGCGGCATTTTTATATATAGCTAGGCTCAAGGAGACCGACGGCTTCTGAAAGAGATATACTCCTAATGCAAGCACACGCGTTGCGGCGGTTGGCGATGGTCAGCGTGCACTCGCGAGGCCTGCCTGTTAAGAGACGTGACGCATCAGTAACGGATGCACGGCGTCTTGGGGGACGTGACTCAAAATCCGGAGGTACGAGATACGGGCGGCTCCGAGATCCAGCCAATTCTGAG